GGCACATATACTGCATACTGCATCGGACCGAAGTCCGGAACACATAACACAAACATGATTGAATCACAAAAACATCAAGCAATCTAACTACTGCTAACTAAACGGTTCGGCATTGTGGCTGTAGACCCATTCCTACTGGAAGGAAGGCTCACCTCGTAGTCTGGCTGCTGTAAGAATTGCTCTGGAATCTGTCTGTTGCTACTCTGGTATCTCCCCGACTACAATTTCCATAAGTACACTCAATCAAATACTGATAACTATACTGAGGGTAAAATGACTATTTTACCCCTGATCAAAGTCAACCTCTTAGTAAAGTCAACATACAGTTGACCTGACTTATCGAGTTGGGCCACCAACTCGTTGAGTCCCTACTCTCATTTCTCAATTCTGCTCGCTACTACTCGTCAAGTTTGCCATAGACTCGACGAGTTCCTCTTTGATACAAACACTTAGTCAATCTGCATCTGACTCGCCGAGTTCTATGAACAACTCATCGAGTGCTCTTTCATCATATGAACACCCCGAATGGGACTCGCCGAGTTGTATGAACAACTCATCGAGTCTGTTCTTGAGATATGAAGATTGCCTTGGACTCGTCGAGTCCCTCCATGAATGAGTCTGATCATCAACTCACTGAGTCCACCTACAACTCACTGGTTCCACTCGACATAATAGATAGAAGGGGGAAAAACCCGAGGACTTGCGACCCGACTCGCGGAGTCTGAAGAACGACTCACCGAGTCGGTTGCATGCAACTTCTATACAGTTGATTCTACTCAAAACCAATGCATACAACTTATATATCTGGGCTCTTAAGGCTTGGTTACCACGTAAAGTTTCCAACTTTACATGTACATATGCATGAAAAGGGATTTAAAGGCTCAAAAGACACTTAAAAGAGTAGATCTAGGGCTTTCATGCAACACGACTCCATAAAGGTGTTAGATCTAAGTTTTTGGAACTGAAACATGGCTAGATCCGAAGGATAATCAACCCAATGTGATCTCTCTACTATAAACAAGCTAAGAAATGGATAAAATGGCCTAAATGTGCTTATAATGGAGAATTAATCATAGAACTAGAAGGAATCCGATTATGACCTCATTAAACTCTGTAGTGGGTGCAAGATCTTGGATCTCCTTCTCCTCCCTTGGATCTAGCTTTCTTCTTCTCTTCAAAACTTCAAGATTCACATAAGAAATGCTCAAAATGCTTAAGGAATGGTTAGGGTTTGCTAAATGATGCTCTGAGGGTGAAGGAGGCGAGGTTGGGGCTCATAACATGGTTTAAATAGGGTGCAAAACCCGTGGATCTAGGGTTTCTTCTAGACTGGCGGACTCATCAAGTCCAGGATATGAACTCGCCGAATTGCCAACTTAAACATGCTCAATATCTCGTCTCTACTCGGCGAGTCGGGCCTACAACTCACCGAGTCCCAGCTAAAAAAAGCAAAAAAATTTAGATTAAAATACATACTAGGAACCAAATGTTACACTTATCCTTTTATTTAAATTAGGCAACCACCAACCACCAAATACATCTCACATCTGTAATGAATGATCAAAATTGTATGTTAGCAAAGGATAGTTTAAAAATTATTGAAGGTGATGTTGAGTGGTTCAGTTTTTTTGTTTTTTTGAATCTCATTTGATTAGTTTCGTGCCTCTAAAACTTTATTTTTTTGGATTCCATAACATTGATAGAAGGTAAAATGGTAGATTTTGAATAATTTATACGTTGCATTGATCTTTATATAATGTATAAATGTTAGTTGATAAAAATACATAAAGAACTCACTAAAGTAAGAAATTGAATGGAAAAAATCATTTTATATATTTACTAAACCGTTAATATATAAAGTATATGTTTTATAGTTCTAATACCCTTTACATAAACATGGTACTTCTAAAAATCGGCCCATAGGAGTAGATTTTCGAAAGTAATGTGCCATGACTGAAAAGATGAATTCAAATAAAGAAAATTATTATTGTCAATCTTTAAGTTAAAAAGAATAAGACAGTTGATGGAAGTTGCAAAAAAAGTGTAACAAAATAATTGTACTTGATCAAAATCTATAGGTGTATCATCCAACTTTTGTTGTGTATAATTTGTTGAATAATATGTTCTCAAGCAAAAAATATAAAGATGAAATGAGAAATTTTGTAGTTGACTATTTGTATTTCATATTGTGGTCATGTGTTTATGACACAAAGATACAAATTCAAAATAGAAAAACAAAAACAAAGCTTGGCCAAATTCAATCTGATTGGTTATCATTAACACCTTCACTAGAAATCTGATTAGAAATCTGATTGGCTATCATGGATTACAAAACTCAATCATATAAAAGAATCATGTCGGTCCAAAAAGTCCCAAAAACTGAATTGGTAAATTCAATTAAAATCACATTTCTACTTAGAGTACATTGCTAATTTCATTAAAAAGTCCCCAAAACATTAACTTTAGTAACAACTCTCTGCTGTAGCGCCAAAAGCAAGCAAAATCACAATAAATTACTGAAACGAAAAGATTATATACCTTATAGAGAAGGATGTTCGTAACTGTTAGTTAGCAAAAAGCTATCAATGGAAACAAATTCACCTTGTATCTATGTTTAACATAATAGAATAAACCAACTTATAACTTCTTCAGAAACTGGGTACCAAAAAACCAATAAATACAAGTTCAAATAACATATAGTCGGACAGGGCAACCAGGGGCAAGGTGAATACCTACAAAAAATTCAACATCAACGTCAGCAAACAAGCCTAGCATGCAGGGGCAAAGTTGTCATTACTCCATAAAAAACCTCGTATAGCCCTTATAGTTGTAAAGGACATCCGAGGGTAAAATGGTCATTATACCAAAAAAAACTTTTTAAATTTAGTAGCAACAAATAAGCAGAGCGATGTCATCCGGAATTTTGAAATAGCCTAATAATCTACCAGGAACAATTATATGTGCGTTGATTTTCTCTTTGTAATTTCGGGCAATACATTTGAGAAGCTCCCAAGCATCTGTCCTTTGTACTCTCCAAGATAGTGATTTGTGTTGGTCTTCACAAAATCAGCAAGATTCTTACCTGCACAAAGCCAAAGAATTCAAAATATATATACACCGGAAATATTTTGTTAACCCAACGATTAGAACTTACGTACATGTATCTAGTATCTTGGACTCTGATCTTGTACCAATAGCAGTTATTTTGATATGATCGATATGACATTCACTTTGAATCGCTAGCGCTTGCATCATAACTACATATTGCATCCCTGTCCTGATCTCGAGATCAATTATATGATTTTTTTGTAGCTTTTGTCAAGTTTTTTTATTATTGTATGAAACGAACTGAACTGACAAACTTGCGATAAAGGAACTTTTTGGTGAAATGGAAAGATGCATGTGTCTACGTTCATCAAGGCTTCTTGAAGATCAAACCGGATACTTTCAAGTCCATTACGTGCGACGCTTCCTAATTCGCTGTTTATTTTCATCGAATTACTTCAGAAAAAATAGTAAACCAATCTTTCAACAGGGTTTCCTTCATTAAAACACATATTGCTGCATAACTGATCAAAGGCATTTCATCGAACATGTGGTGAGCGAATCTGATAAGAAGAGCAAGTTATGGTTTTTTCAGAAAGAAAGAAAAGAAGGCAGGTGGAATGTGAAGTAGGTAGAAAAAGAAAGCAACTGTGTGCTAAATCAGATACAGAAAGATGAAACACAAACCTTAATTTTCATTTTTAGCAATGTGGTTCCTTTTTTTCGAACTTCGATCATGGGTTTGAGGTTTCTTTCGTCTTTCCCACTATATGTCATCATTGAGTACATGCACAACCACTGAAAATCGATTTTAGGGCTTTCCTATGTGATCGGGTGTGGCAGCCCTGCTCCGACGTCTTCTTCTCCCACCGATGTCGATATCAAATGGAATCAACTGCAGGTGGGTACACTATTGGAATTTTTGGAAAACGAAACAAAGATTTAATTTGATGGCATATAGACGGTGTGAGAAAGTTATGTAAGTATTGAAGCGGTGGATCGGCACATTTGGATCAAGACGGTGGAAGGAGGAGCGGTGGAAGCAGAAAGAAGAAGGGTATGAATAGCGTTGAAATGGCCGTAGAAGAAAAAAGAATCGTAGAGGGTTCAATGGAATAAAACGGTGAACTGGCACTAATCTCATTTTTATTAGATACACTGGCGGTGGAGAAGCACGTAGACAACAGAGAAAGAGGCAAGATGCACGTATAATCCACTATCTGGTATAAAATAGATAATTATCAAAAAGCAAAATAGAAAAAAAAAATAACCAATAGGAAGCAAGTCGTGTTCATAAGGACTTTTAAATTATATATATATATATATATATATATATATATATATATATATATATATATATATATATTACTAAACTTTTTTTAGGTTCTTATTCCATAATTGAGGTAACCGGGTAAATTTGTGGACGACATGATATTCCATATGACAAAATTTATTTATTTAAGAGTAAATTATTGAAATCGTTTATGTGGTTTGGTCAAAATTGCATGTTTGGTTCCTAACTTTTTTTTTTGCACTCGGATTGTCCCTATGATTTGATTTTGTTGCGTTTTTTGTCCCTGTGGTTTGATTTTGTTGCATTTTTCATCCCTTACATACATAAAGTTAGGGACCAAACATGCAATTTTTACCAAACCATAGGAACGAAAAACGCAACAAAATCAAACCACAGGGACGATCCGAGTGAAAAAAAAAAGTTAGGAACTGAAAATGCAATTTTGACCAAACCATACGGACGATTTAATTGTATTTTGCGCTAACATTGCGTCCACTATAACGTTTTATATAATACATTGTTCAGTTAAACTTTTTAACAATGTAATATGAACAAAATAAAAATTAGTATTCTGTTAAATACAAATGAAAATTAAATAACTTAAAAAAGCAAATTACGAATTATTGATTGTCATGACTCATGACATTAACATTAATAAAGAATGGGCCACACACTCTACAATATAGTATTGGGTTTTGCAATGTATGGCCCAACTTACTTTTGTTGCATATTCCTATTAGTTTATTGGGCAACGGCCGTTGGTCATCACAAGTCACAAGCCATTCGCCAATTATTATTGATATTTTATCCGTCGTTGAAACTTGAAGGGCTTCAAGTGTCATCAAGTAAAACTACAAGGGCCAAAATTTCAATTAAGAGCCAGATACATTGTTTTTCCAAGAAGGTTTGATCGCTCATTTTCATTTCATAGGCGGCGATTCCTTCAAGCTTCAAATCGGTGGACTGTCTTCGATTCTGCAGCCTCACTGTTCTTCTAATCACGGTTCGTTAAACGATTCAGTCCCCGGTTACATTTGTTACTGTTTCACTTCTTTTTTCCTTTTCTCTCATTCGCTTTCCGCCCTCTTTTAGTATGATGCGTCAATTTGATTGCTTATCAAGTTTCTGGTTTTCGATATCTTTATCCTTGTATGTGTGTATCCATGAATATGTAATTACGAATTTGGAAATACGGAGCTGATTCTTTGTGCTTTATGGCACCATTTCATATGCATTCCAAGTGTTCGATGTAATACCTCGTTTGTTTCCAAATCGATTTTGGTCAGTTTTTAAAATATGGAACACCCAGGAATATACCTGGAAAAAACAGTTTAAATGAATGGTTTTGTGCACTATATGAATTTCTAAACATTTACACAAAACTGTGAACTTATTATCTCACCAATGATTACTTCCAATTATCTTGAAATGTTGATGGTATCTGAAGCCTTCCCATCTTTTTTCCAGGTGTAAGAAGGTCCAAACAAGTGTCATGCAGTATACGCACATTCTAGAATTGGAGACGCCATATCTATGAGTCTTCTTTCCTACTGAAAACAACCAAAACCATGAAATCTTTAGCACTTCTTAGGTCAATTCGCATGCGCCCTATTGGGCCTTTACAAATCCGTTCTTTTCAACCCGATTTTGTCCCTGCAGACCCAAAATCCAAACCCAAAAGGTACAAATTACCCGCATCATATGACCCATATGGCCCTAGACCTCCACCTTCTGACAAAATCATCCAACTTGCTGAAAAAATTGCAGCCCTACCCCCTGAAGAGCGTATGCAAATAGGTCCTACACTTAGAGAGAGACTAAGGCATCCTAAAATGCAGTCGATTTCAGTTGAAGGGGTGGATTTGGGTGCCCGAGGTGTGGCAGGAGGTGGGGGAGGGAAGGTTGAAGAGAAAGTTGAGAAAACAGCATTTGATATAAAGTTGGAGAAATTTGATGCAGCTTCTAAAATTAAGGTGATTAAAGAGGTTCGTGCTTTTACAAATCTTGGATTGAAGGAAGCTAAAGATATGGTTGAAAAAGTTCCTGTTGTGATTAAACAAGGTGTTACTAAAGAAGAGGCGAATGAGATCATAGAGAAGATTAAAGCTGTTGGAGGTGTTGCTGTTATGGAGTGATATGTTTCTTTTACTTTAGGGTTTCTTGATTGTAGGAAAGATTTTTGAGTGAAGTACTTTTGATCAAAAGATTGTTTGCTAGATTTGGTTTTGGTTAAAAAGTTGGATGTAGGATTTACATGAAAACAAGATTTGTCCTTTAATAATATTTGTGACTTTTACCCCTTTCTTATCTTCTAGATTTATGAACTATGGAGTATGTTCTTGGTTAATTTCTTCTAATATTTGTTCTTAATGTCATATGTTTTGCACATGTTCACATTTAGGGCTTTTCGTGTTTTCTAACATTGGGTTTGCTTTTGCACTTAATGTATAAAGTGATTATTATGGTAAATATCAGTTTTCAGTGCTTGAGAGAAACAAATAATGATTTTGACTTTTAATTATCTAGTATTTGAATTAATTCCATCATATTTTATTAAGTCTTAAACTTTTGTTTTTGTAATAATGGAACTTGTATAAAAGAATAGACGTTTTTATACAATTTGGGTATTTATTTGTATAAATACAGTCATATGAAAAGTCAAATAAGATTCTATTTCATGCAACAAAACCGACTAAAATCAATGTTTTAAAAACCAGTTTTTAATTGAACTCGTCTGATGATCTATTCCCGATTTAACCGGTTTGGCCGCCAGTCTATATTTGATAGTGATGTGCGTCGGTTTTCAAGTTGTATACATTTCGGATAACCTGGTCGATTGATATATTCAATTTGTTCTAGAAATTGGTTGTTTTTTAATGGGCTAAGTGAGATCTAATTATCTAAGTCCAATAAAACAGTTCAAACGGTTTTTTATCCACTGGTTCAACCCGGTTTTTAAAGAAACCGTCTGGGTCGATCCAGTTTAGAAATTGGTATAAAACCAGATGTTGTTGAATCACTCAAACTGTCACCAATGAAAATACCTTCGTGAATTTGGATTGTTTTGTCCCATAATTAGGATTTATCTAAATGGTATTTGTGTTTTTCTTTTTTACATATATTATGTACTTTACAAATTTTTGTAATCATTTTAATTGTAGGTTGGAGAACTTGTATTCTTGAACTATTTGGTGATTTATTAATATAATTAATTAAACTTTGTTACGTGATGTTCAACCCACCAAGAGGTGCTTCAACACTTCTCTATATCATATAAAAAAAAAATTTATTTAGATATGATTCATCTTGTTAATATATATTCAGTCCCAAAACTTAACACTCAAAGGCACACCAACAATTCCTAGAAACAAAAACCATTTTCAGAACCAATAAGAGTCTTATAAAACCAACCACTACTATCCAAAACATAATCTTTCAAAACACTCTCTCTATCATCCTCTCTCAATGCAATCCAAAATAATAAAAAAGGAGGTTATTCGTTAAATTACAAAGAGAGAATTCATTCCAAAAACCCTAATCAAATTCAAAGCCACCAATCATAGAGAAGAGGAAGAACACCCATCCATCCCACTCACTTTAATTTTATTCATCAACCCTCTAATCTCACTCTCAAGTTTCCCTCTCATCTCACCCGACAACCCACCCCCAGCTTTTTCCAACATTACCCTCATCATTTCAAGATTCTTTCTTATAACCCCAAGATCATTACCATTATTACCCTCTTGTTGAACATGAACAGGTTTTTTAATCCCTAAAGGAATCGCGGGTTTAACACTATACAAATGCTGAACCCTATAACTTACAAGAGACTCCCCAAATGGTCTTTCCTTTTCCAATTTTTGAACTGCCTCTCCAACAACCAACGGGTTCACAAACACAACTTGACCCGTCAGATCTTGACCCATGACCCGCGTCTCAGACCCGTTCAACCCGTATTTACAAAACACCAAATTCAAATCTTGTTGGGAGGGTAACGGGTGATGTGGGGAGAATTTTAACAAAAGAGCTGTACCCGAAGAAGCTTCATTCCCATAACTTAAATCCATTGAAGGCAACCGAATTTCTTCCATTTTTTTAGTTTTAGTTTCATTTGCGTATCCGTTTAAATCCGGGATCATGTATGGACCGATGACACCTGGCGTATCGAATTTCCCTTCTTGCCCTCCTTGTGATAACGCGGGGCTCTTAATAGGAGTCTTGAATTCGATAGGGTCGGTGTTATTGAGATGCTGAATTCGGTAATTAACAAGGGCGGGTCCAAAAGGTTGGTCATTTTGTAATCCCCAAAATGCCCCTCCAGCACTAGAAGAATCAGAAAACACAACTTGACCACTTAGATTTTCAGTGGATATGAACGTTTCGGATTCGTTTAATTCCCCGTATTTAGAAAATACCAAATTTAAAACTTGGGTGGAGGGTAAAGGGTAGTTTGATGAAAATTTTAAGAGGAAAGCAGTACCTGTGACTTGTATGTTTTCTTGATTCACTTTGTTGTAACTTAAATCTATACATGGGACTCCGGTTTCTTCTTTTTTCTTTCCTCTTTTACCCTTTTTCTTCTCACCACCATTTTTGGTCAGATCTGGTGTCACAATCAAACCATCGTTCGCTTGAAACTCCACATGTTTCCTTTTTCGCCCTCTCTTTTTTGGCTCATGGTTAACCTTACTCACCTGTGGTTGACCATGGTTTATTAACCATGGTTGGGTTGACCCAAATCCATACATGGCTTGGTTTGATCCTTCCATTGAAGGAAACACATATGGATTCATGTTCATGTGTCCATTCACATTGGGCAAGGGAGTGGGATTACTATTCCAGGCTTGGATAGGGGTATTGTTGTCCATATTGTTCAAACTCCTTTTGGGTAAGAGTTTACGAAGGGGTGGTTTGGTCATTTGTGGATCTTTAAAATTATAGATGGTATTATTTTGAACTCCTTGATTTGCCATTGATTGAGGAACAAGAACAGGATTAGCATTCTGGAAATCTAGAATCAGTGAACTGGATTTATTCTTCTTCTTTCTCACTTTCTTGGGTTTCTCTGATTCCAGAGTTTTTATTCCGGTGGTGATGCTGATTCCATTTGTGGAATCACTGAATACCCATTTCCTAAATCCAGCTACAAAATGTTTAACAGAATCAAATTTGTCACTTTCACTTGGAAAACCACAATCTTGAGCTGCAGATTGAAGCACAGAGAGCACATCAGATGAACATATATTTACTGGTAATGGATCTTCCTTCATGACAAGCTTTTTGGTATACTTCTTTCTTGGCTTCTTCTTCGATGGCAATTCATTAGTTTTATTCAATTCCATTCCTCCATTATCATCTTCCTTCAATTCTTCCTTTCTTTGTTCTCCCGGATATGACAAAAACCTACTCTTCCTTCTTTCTCTTGTTTCATATCCTTTTTCGGATTTTCCACCACTACCCTCTGTATCATCTTCCATTATTAAATATCCATTTTCGTCCTCGGTTTTAATTTTTGATGGACTCCAAGAAGGCTTAAGTTGATGAACTGGGATTTGGCAATGCCCTAATGAATGATTAAAAGCAGACAAGAAATTCATATTGATGGAAAAATCAACCTTATTAGGCATACAAACATTTCTTGAAAGATCTTCTATATATTCAAGAAACTTTACAGGCTCAAATCGAGTCAATGAAAGATCATCAACATTACCCCTTCTTTTCATCACCACATTAGAGAAACAAGAACAAGTGAACTCTGTCTTTACACGTTGACCAACCTCAGCTAGAGCCTTATCTATGGCACCAAAGAAGTTTTTGGAGTTTCTTTGGTTTGAAAACCGTTGAAAGTGCTCAATGAATGGCTTGAGTTCATTAGGTCGACACCAAATGTAATTTCCATTGCCAAAACATCTTATCAGAAGTCCATTCTCCCTTATCTGTACACTAGAAGCTTCACAAACAATTCCAGGCCACCATGATTGTTTCTTGATCATTGCCCACACTAAATCACCCACACTGACCCCACATTGTTTGTAAGCAGCAGTAACCTCACCTTGATTTCTCTTTGATGATCGATGTTCTTCCAAATGATGTGAAATATCGCCAGTTAATTCCACAAAAAGGGAAATACCTTTCATAGGAACATCTGCATGGCTACTTAAATCAACCCCGCTACCATTTTCTGCAACTGATGTTGACACAGGTTCATCACGCTTCTCTTCCCCCATATCAAACGACTTATCCGTTTCCTCCACTAGATTCACATTTCCATCTTGTTTAGATGACACTAAACCCTCGATTAGGGTTTCTGAGGTGTTAAAGGTTTCCATATAAATAACATTCAACAAAGTCAATTAGTCAAACCCTCCCTGTCACAATTTTCTGTTTCACAAACAGCATCGACTTCACAACTGTCAAAAAATCGCACATAAATACAATTAGCCTTTCGCAATCAATAATCAACAAGGGAACCAATTCCAAATTCGAGCCCTAATCATATAAAACTAAAAAAAGGTTCGACCTTTGACGTAGTAACAAACTAGAAACCTCGAAGGAACAAAGAAAGTATGTTACTGGGGTAGAAAAAAGAAACTAAAAGATACCGACACATAGAAGGATTAGAAGAAAAACAGCAAGTACCTGAAAATTAATTACATTTGTGAAGAGATGGAAGATGAAGGGAAGACGAAGAAGAAGATGAAGAAGAAGAAGAAGAAGAAGAAAAATTAGGGCTCATTTGGTTGGTTTTGATCGGGGAATGATGCGAAGAGAAAGATTCGGTTATGTTGTTGTTGTTGTTATTGAAAATGGAGGAGCGGAGAGTTTGAGTTAGTGAGTGGATCTGTGTACCTGACGAAGTACCTCTCTCTGCATACATACATGTGACATGTAACATCATACATCATCATAGTTTAAGACTTAGGAGTTCACCCGAGTTCAACAAGGAGGGAAAAGAATAAAAATGGACAAAAAAATATTAAATTAATTCCTATCTCTACAAATATTTCAGCTCTTTAGGATTATCGTTCTACCATTTAATTTAATTTTATATGATATATTCTTAATATATTTTTAATGAAATAGCTAAAAGGATACGGTATGGGCACATCTCGTGCTTGTTGTAGCTGAGGTGGACGCCAAAAACAGCGTTGCATCAAGTTGTACACAGCCCCCTTATCTCGTTGCTTCTCGTCGAGGGGCATCTAGTTGTCATTACAACCTACACCAATAAGTAAAAATCTGAACGTTACCATTCTTTTCTAGTCGCTGTCAACAGTCATAACAATAAAAAAAAATTACATTTTTATTGTTATTATTATTATTATTATTATTATTATTATATATATATATATATATATATATATATATATATATATATATATATATATATATATATATATATATATATATATGAAATGAATGTTAGGAATAGTAAACTTTTTTTTTTTTTTTTGGCAATTTTATCTTTAGTCATTTTGATACTTTTGATCGCAAAACCTTAATGGTTTGACAACTTTGATTCTTTTTCTAAAAAGTTGTTAAATCCTACCTCTTTAATTTTTTAGTCATTTTGATACTTCTGGTCCTTACGATCAAAACTTTTACATTTTTTCATAAAAACATGAAAAAACGGTATGAGGCAAAGCTCGAACTTTTCATCCTTGCACTATCTACGATTGTCATATTTATCGATTCAGAAACAACATTGAAAACTTCTGGCCCCCGCGTAGCAGGGGTAACCTTTCTAGTTATTATTATTATTATTATTATTATTATTATTATTATTATTATATTAAGGAAGTTGCTTCTTGATTTAATACAAATCAAATTTATTTTATATTTTTTTGATTTAATTTAAATAACCTTTTTTAATTTGATTTTTTTGTCTTTTGTTTTTTGTTGTCTTTTGTTTTATTATTATTATTATTATTATTATTATTATTATTATTATTATTATTATTATGTTGCTTTGTTTTTAATTATGTGTTTTAGAAAAAAAAAAATCATATATAGTTGTTCGGACTATCTCTATGTTATTTTCTTGTTCTTTGTCTATGTGTTATTTTTTGTTTTTGTTTAAAAAAAATTACAAACAATTATATGTATGTTTGTATGTTGGTTTTATTTAATGACTACTAAAATTGCAACAAAATAATAACATTAGATAGTTTGAACTACTAAAATAACACAATGATAGTCACAATGAAAAAAGAAAAAGAACATATAAATAGTCTGAATAAAAAAATAACACAAAGATAGTCAAACAAAAAAAAAAATAACTGAAGGATAACTGAAAAAAAAAAAACATAAAGATTGTAACACCCATAAAAAAATCATGCCAAATTTGAACTTAAAAAAAAAACATTTCAAACCATTAAAAATCATTACAACTTGTTTTTAATGTATAATATCAGAGTTTTCCCAGAAACATAAACAAAGCAGGAGGAGTTGTACGATCACGTCTTTGCCTTGTCGCGATCCCTTGATATACCTGAAACAATAATCTGAAACTGTAAGCCCGAGAGTTTAGTGAGTCCCCCCCCCCCCCCCCAAAAAAAAAAAAAAAAAATACCAACGCCATACAGTCATAACCATATCATATAAACATATAGGCAACAACATGCATAATGAGCCTTTAGCCTGACTAGACCGCCTTGCAGGCCTTCATCCTATCTGGACCGCTCTCATGGCCTTCGACATGTCTGGACCGCCTCGTAGGGCCTACAGCCTATCCGGACCGCTCGTTGGGCCTTCGGCCTAACTGAACCCCTTTGCAAGGCCTTCAATTTATCTGGACCGCCCTAGGTATGTTGGCCTTCAGCACAAAGCAGGACCACCTCAACCCAAACCCCAATCAACAAACATGTACACATACATATCATACACTAGCATATATAACAGTCAAGACGATCTAACAGATCACTAATCATAGCAACATCCTATTACCACGGTACAGACCTAACCAGGTCATTAAGCATATCACCATCCTAACTACCCGGATGTAAACCAATAAGCATATCAGACAATAGTCCCGGATACAAATCTGACAAGGATCGAAATTGGTGCCTTAGACCCATTAGATATAGTTGATAAGTTTTGAGCATTCTAAAACTCCTAAGTGTACATGCAACCCTAGGAAACCTTGGATCTATGTTTGTCTAAAATACATGCAAAATATGATTTCCAAGGTTCTTAATCCTATCTAGCATACATGGGGAACTTTTAATCTAAAAGTTGGCTAGAATTACATACCTTGTAGTTGATTTGATTCCTTGAAAACCTTGAGGGCCTAGCACCCCAAGTGTGGTGCCTCAAATGCTTCACACAACACCAAATGCTTTGGAAAAACCTTGAGAGAATATGTAACACTTGTAAAATCGGCCTAGCCCTCTCTTGTACTTAGTGTAGCCGATTTTCGTGAGTATGATGTCCTTTATATAGTGTGTCACATCTAGAGTTACACCATGTAAACCCTAATGTGACATGACTCTTCATTTCCATGACCCATGGGTTTGTAACTCCCATAGAGCATCCATGGAGCATCCTATGGGTTTAACCCAACTTGATAATCCATGGAGCCTTTTAGCCCACTATACAAGTTATGGATGATTTACATAACCAACCCATATATTTAATTAATAATCTTTTGATCACTTAATTAATTCCAAATTAATTCTTGATCAACACTAATTAAATAATATTATTAATATATTATAACTTATAATATATTAATAAACCACAAGTGTTATTTCTTTCTTTTAGTCTATCCAAATGCATGATGCCATGCAACCCAAATGGACCATGTCGGATCGGGTCAAGTACATACCAAATATAGTTATGGATTTAGACACCTTATCCAACAGTCTCCCACTTGGATAAGTCTAATAACTATATTTGTAAGTATGACTTCAAGAACCGATCAGCAATCATAGCTCTTTCAAGGTCTCTTGGAACTGAGAAGATGATGATGTGCCATTTAAGATAAGTGATCATATAATCCTATGTTCTAGATATCAGCCGGACAAATACATGGAACAATGTCTTACTTATTGTCCAACAGTTTGTTTCCCGATTTCCTATTTGTTTGACATATAACTAAATTTAACACATCAATTCGGTTCTAACCGGGCCCGGTACATAGGTCAAAACAAAATCATCGAGGGGCCCAGATATCGCTTCTAATCCAAGAAGGAACAGATAAACTTCAACTCATATGCTTATTCTACTACTTGTTGAATCACACATAACAGTACGTTTTATAACATCGAGTTACCAATGCGGTTTCGTACTATCAATGCATAACCAACTCATAGGCAACAAGTCATATCTCTAGGTTTGAAGACTTATATGATATTACCGTCTCACGATCACTCAAGATAAATTACATGAAGTGATACCAGTGAGCGTGGGTTGAGTCCAATGCTCAGAACTTATGAGCACTCATGAGTGTTGTAGCCATGTAGAACAACTTAGACCTCTGCAATCATCTCATGACAGTCTTGATTCATACATACTTCCAACATATGACCAACTGTGGAGATTCGAATAATATGATATACCAAACATAATTATTCTGGAAGTCAAAACATGCAAAAGAAATATAGTAAACGATTGACAAAAGATAGCAACACTTTACTCATAAATAAACACAACTTTTATTCATCATCAAATGTTAATTACACTTTACAAATTTCAAAATTATCTAACTACTAAAACTAATATCATCCTTCAACCCTATGCTCCGAGCATGTTAAAGATGCTTAACCCGACTCAGTCCCTTCGTGAGGGGATCTGATGGGTTCTCATCCGATGATACCCTCATTGCCACGAGGAGTCCTTCTTCTATTTGATGTCTGATGAAATGGTATTTTCTGTCGATGTGTCTGGATCTCCCGTGATCCCTTGGTTCTTTGGCTAAGGCAACTGCACTTTCACTATCACAAAAAATTTCCATTGGCTCCTTTATAGCTGGTACAACTCCAATGTCTCCAATGAAGTTCTTCATCCATATCGCCTCCTTTGCTGCCTCGCTTGCGGCTATATACTCTGATTCGCCATCAGCCACTTTCTCTTGCTTGGAACTCTTCCAAGTAATTGCTCCTCTATTTAAGGTAAAGAATCAGCCCAACTGAGAGTGGAAATTATCCCTATTAGTCTAAAAGCTAGCATCACTATACCCTACAACTCTCAAGTCATCACTCCCACCGAGGGTAAGGACTTAGTCCTTAGTCCTCCGCATGTACTTGAGGATATTCTTTACCGCAATCCAGTTTGCCTTGCCAGGGTTCCCCTGATATCGGCTAACCATGCTTAAAGCAAAGGCTACATC